CAGATTTCAAAAAGGATTTGGTTAATCTGAGATATGTGATCTTTTTTAAAAATGTCATGGGAAAGATGCTGGTCCATCGAACATATCCATTTCTGGATCTTCCGTGATGTAATTTCACGTGATACGTTGACTATTTCCTGCCATAAATCATCCTTGCTTCTAAATCGGTGTGCATTCTCATAAAGAAGTCGCTTCATAATGCTCCACAAGTTTTCAATTGGGTTTAAGTCTGGAGAATTGACCAGGCAGTTTATTTTCAAATGTCATCTCGTTAATAATTTGAAACGCAGTGTACATGCTTCAGTTCGAAATTATACCAAATACATGTGGGCGGCTTTAGTAATACCTGCCGTAAGTACTGATATATATATATATATATATATATATATATATATATATATATATATATATATATATATATATATTTACCCAAACATTAAAAGCGAAAAAGACAAAGAACGTAAATTTTAGAGAAAGAGAGCAACATTTTAATTTATAGAAAGAGAACAATAGGGAGAACTCAGTTTCATGCCTTCTGCGACTTTGAAAAGGAAATATAGCGAATATTGCATTATCCTTACTCACAAACAAGGCAAGTCATTTGGCAAGAGGTTTTGTTTTTCTCACCTGTCCCTGAAGAATGTTCTCTTTAAGGTGTCTACACTAAAGTTGTGTCTTGTATAGACCAGGATGTCACTGAATAGCAGTTATGGTTAACATGATCCGCCAATCGTATTAATTGGGGAAGATGGGGAGAGTTAACCTAACCTCCGGAACAACTGACGACGGCAAGGAAGATGTCTAAATAAAGAAACATAAAATGATATGTAAGGATAAAAGGCGGGAACGAGGAAAAGAAAGAGACAGAAAGAAAAGAAAGAAAAAAAAGAGTAGAATGTTTCACAGAACGATATAAATAATAAAAGAAAGCAAACATATCTATCTCATTTCATATATATCTATCTCCTTTTGTTTATATCTACATTTCATCTATCTATTGTAACAAGACTGAAAGGAAAATGGCAAAATTCCGAGAAGCATTTTAATATTTATCCGTCTAACTCCAAGAAGCAACATTTATTTGAAATCGATCCAATTAATACATTTCGACTTAATGGTAAAAGGAATTAAATTGCAGTGATTTGACTTAAGGCTTTTTTTTCTATAAAATGATAAACAACTTCCCGATTACTTCACATAGACATACAAATAAGCAGTTATATACGCGTACAAGTGGGCAAGACACATTTTTAAGCTAAAATAAAGCCACGTCGCAAAGACGTGTGTAATCACGAATGTTGGCAGTACATATACACATTTACACGGGCAATCGACGGGGTGTAGCGGTTAGCAAGCTTTTATCTCGCTAGAAAAATTCACGACTGAGTTGTGAGTTCGATACTTACTGGGTGCCCTATACGGCTATGCTTGGAAAATCTCCGTATACACGTACAGATATGAAATAACTTACATATTTACGTGTACACATATTTATTCACAGAAATTGTGTGGATGTTGATACTCGAATGCAGAAATGTACATTTACTGGTGAACACTATATTCTTGGGTATAATACTATGCTTTACTGATGTAATGGAATAACTTGTCACCCCATAAGTGACTACACTGTATGTAGTAACTGCCTATAAGTAGCTGTAAGTCAACGGACTACAGAGTCTAACTGGGATCTATTACTCAGCAACTAGCTGCTGTCGAACTCTATGACTTTGGGCAAAGAGGAAACCGGAACAGGCTATTTCGAAGGGCGGAATCTCGTCCGAGGAGGTAGAAAGGCCCGAACGCGTTTATCCGTTTATTTTTGGCCGAACCAACGGGCCCCCACATTAAATTCGGCCTTGTGGGGAGGTTGGTAAATATTAATAGCTGGGATCTGTTGAGTACGACTTAGACTTACGCGAGAGATACCGACCTTCCAATAGTAGAACTCACTACTGGATTGATTAGCAATGACCTTATGCATAACTGTTACCTTTATTCTTATTGTACTGTTTTTTTTTTTTACAGTAAACCTTTACTTATTTTATACACATTGTTTTTCAAGTATATATTCCTATAAAAACAGAATATAACATATACTATAATAATAATATCTGTACATCAGTAGCCCCCCCCATTTATTTTGAACATTATTTATTTTGTCTAATGGCCAGCGTACAAGAGAAAGCTTAATAATGACGTGCTCTCCGGCAGTTTTGAAGCTCCTTCCCAGGTTGAACCACAGTCTGATCCGACGTGCTTTCACCGTTCGGCTACGAAGAGCTTCACAATAAGGCAAACTTTTATTTTTGCCTTGTAAAGGACATTGACTTATTCAGATATTCACGAAACACATATTTGCTCATTACTTTATTTTTTAATCCGACATCATTTTTATTACTTCAAACGTACTCCGACGTAATATATGGCCAGCAAATCTATCTCGCTAAATCATTTACGACTGTATAGTGAGTGAGATCCTCACTGGGTGTCCCATACATTTGGTTCTGTGCCACATCCAACCGACGTTTAGAAAGTCCTTATAATACGACTTGAATATAATACGACCCCATGTTTCGGAAGCTAAAACAGTAAATAAATTATTTCCTTGAATATCTAATATGACCCCGTAGTACAGGCATCTTCCAAAAGATTTTTTATGAAAAATTCCACCATATTATCCATGTCGTACATATATTTCACTAAAATAATTAATTTTTCAGGGAATTAAAGAATAGAAGTGAATGTTTAGCCTGATATTTAGCCATTTTTGTTTTTTTTCTTCTAATTCCTTTTCAAAACTTATTTAAACTGACGCCATGGTGATATAACAATGTTGAATATGTCCATTCCATTTACTAATTTGGCGGAATATAATCTTCCTATCAAAATATAATGAACATATTTATCTTCATGCTAGATTAACATAAGGGTGTGGTTATGCCGTGTGTTTCTTTCATATTAAAATCTCAATGTCGTACATGTGCATTTCACTAAAATATTTAATATTTCACAATATCAAAATATAGAAATGAATCGAACTTTCGGGGAATGGTGCGTCTATACATAAACCGATAATATATTTTAAAGTCTTAGTTCAATCAGTCCTCTTCTGTTTGATATATCTTTATTATATTTCTATATATTAATAAACTGTGAAAATAAAAAGAATATTATCTTTTATTAAGAATGAAGGGAGAAAATTTTATAAAAAAAACAAGAAACTCGAAATACAAACAAACCTTATTTTGGGAGCAAATATGAGACAAAAGACATCTATTTATGCTGATACCTAAAGAAAAAATTATTGTAGAAATATCAAAATCTTTTGTAAACAATTGTTATCAATTTCCTGCTCAGTTTGTATTTCGTTGGCTACTGTGCTGAGTGTATTTTCACTCTTGCTGTTTCAATCTTGCTATCATTGAACCTGAGTAAAAATTTCTGTAAGCGGTTTCATGTGTATAATATGACCCAATTTTGCCTTTTTTCCAGGCTTGTATGAATAGGGAAGATGACTTTCAAAAAACAAAGCAAAGATTAAAAAATGAGAAAAAATTTAGAAAAAAATCTATTCAGGACAGTGACATAAGGTTTGTCAGTGAATATAGGATTTCATGATGGCTTGGAGCGACAGACGAGTGGTTCTATCGAAGTTTGCTGCAAGGAACTTTTAAGAGAATAGGAATTATAAAAAAGTGAATGCTAGAATGTTGGGGACTATAACAGTCCGATTTCTCACACATCCTTAGAAGATAAGTAGAAATATTTTCCCCTGTAAGTCAATTTAATTATCAAAGTTTCTTAGGAATCTCGTCTACAGGCCATCATATAAGTCAATTTAATTGCCAGAATGTTCTGGATTCATGTCTCCAGTCCACCTTTGAATTGGCAAACATAAAATTTTGTTAGCGATTTCAGATAATCATAAAAGTAGATTCCTTTGAAAAAATGACCACCAAAAAGCCGAATGGGTAGTCTCATTTTCCGGAAACCAAGGTGACAGATAAGGGTGGTGGGAACCCAGCCAATATCCAGAGAGAGGCAGGAAGTCATCAGCTGTCAGTAAGGAAGGGACCGGCAGTCAGGGAGAAAGGAAAGGATTGACAGTGGGGGAGTGAGCAGTCACTGAAACTACAGTCAGTGAATATAGGGTTCACTCTCCGTGGTCAGAAGTTAGTAAGATAGCAACCCACCTCCTTGACACTGAACGAGGAAACACAACAGTTAAGTGAGAAATCATATTGTTGCTGTTTCTCAACCAGTTTCTTGAAAAGCATTTGATGTTTTCTTTATTTTATTGTTATAGTGGTATTTTCTTTTATCCATAGTAAATTGTTTTTAGTGTTTTATTGTTGCCGCCAGAGAATTAGTTATAATTAGACAAGGTGAGAGAGAAACTTTGCCGGACCTATTTAATAGGCCAAAACTTGGCCAAAATAGCCTTTAAGGATGCTGTGCAGAGAGATGGAGAGCCCATGCCGACTTAGAAATACATCTGTAAGGAAAGATACAGCCAGTGCAGCTCCCAAAACACTTGCATGGATATTTACGTTGGCACAATAGAGTCATAGACATTTTGAGAGACTGGACTCTTCCTAAACACACGTGCATGGGGTTGGACCGTTAGGGAAAGAGACAGACCGTGTCTCAATGGAAGGGAACAGTGCGGCCCTAGTCGATCTAGTATTAGTTGTGGTAAGACCTGAGAGAAATAAGCAGAAATCTCATCTAGTTTCCAGGCAAATGTCATGTTGGGGTGCGGACAGTCTGGTCATCTAAAGAAGGAGCGTAGCCAGAGGAGGCGTGCATTCGCTCTCTTAGATCAGGAATCTCATTTAACATGTTAGACAACAATGGATGGGAATTAAGGCATTTATAGACAGAGAGGGGGGGCATCATTGTTGATAATAAAAACTAGGCATTATTTTCAGCTAGGATTTAGAGAATACGTCCTTAGATGTTGCAAAGCCAAAAAATGTTTCAGGCAAAGGGAAGGGAAATTATGGATGAAGACGCCTTCCTGTAGAGGTAGGAGGAGGAGGGGCAGTCAGGGTGCAGCAAATGAATGCGACACCCACATTGTGTAGATCCATGACATAGGTAGGGATTGGCTTAAAAATAATGAAGCGCAAATAATCCTCATAATCAGCACTTCCATCGTTAAAAATCTGGAAAAAAACTACCCTTAAGGAAGGAGGAAAGGTGAAGAAATCGCTATAAAAGGTTGCAGGGATGTTATTCTACGCCCAAGCATGGCTATCCCTTGCATTGGAAGATTTTCTCTAGCTCAGGAATTAGGAGGACGGAAAAAGTATCAAGTTGCCGAAACCGAGAAATCTTGTTTTTTTTTTTGTTTAGAATTAGCGCTAACGGAATTCGTAGTGGAAGATCACGATACGGTCGTATCATAATAATGCTAGCTATTAGTACTACTACTAATACAGCAATAAGACTTCAAAAGGAAAAGAAAGTAGCGGGGAGGTTATACCAGCCAATACGGAGGAGGAGGTAGAATATGCAGAAGAGGGAGATATTAGCTTCACATACACACAAATGGAGTTTCCTGCAATCTATAAGGGACAATGGAGACGTGGTAGCTGACACTGACGTTGACTTAGGCCAAATAAAAACACTGGGGATTATGATAGATACGGATAATCATTAGCCTATGAAGCTAATACTATAACGGATCCCACTGCATAAGCGCAAACTTGTACAAGGGTCAGTTGTGGATATACTGGAAATGGGAATATTAGAACGTTCCACATCACTATGGAGAATAAAATAATCAAACTACCAATCTACCCATATCGATGACATATTGCCATTTCTGGGTATTCCGACTAATTTTTTAATCTTGATTTCAGGTCAGGCAACTGGCAGGTAGCCCACAACAAAGCCAATAGGGAGAAAGCAGAATTCATCTGTCACATTGGATTGTACCAATTCAGGATTATGCTCTTAAGACTAACCGATTCACCTGGAAATTTTCAGCAGGTCATCTTGATAGTGCTGTTGGAACTTGAGGAATTTTATATGGCTGGTGTGAGGGTTTTGTTGCTATTCGTCCGCATAATCCCATCCGCAAAATCTAATATTAAAACAATCTAGCACAATGATCAAAGTGGACAATTAGTAAGGCTCACTTAGAAGTGTTGGAACCAATTAAGAATATACAGGCTATAAACTGGGAACTGGACTTGTTACAGGTATGCAAAGGTAAATCGACAGTAACTGTAAGAGCTAACCCCGCCCTGGGTCATTATCACACTTCAGATGGGTTGCCCTGACTTTGGGAAATCTTTAGCTTTCCTGTCTTACTATCAGCTGGAGGAAACATTTGAAACCCAGGACGCATTTCTAGCCTTGGTAAATGTCTCAAGTAGCAATTGTATAGGACAGTAGGTGCCCCTAATAAGGAAAACAGACATAACTGTACGCAAATTTCCCCAGGTACCCAAACCAATAGATATACATGTATTAGTGGATAATTTAGCGATGGCGGGAAGAAATCACCCAACCGAGGGGGAGCCAACAGCAATTATTATAGTTTGGTTGACAGTAGGTGGCAATATAAGATATCATAGTGATAGTGATCGTTTTAGTGGGTTATAGGAGATTTGGGCTGAAAAAGCGTAACGTATACAATGAGCAGGGGAGAGGATGTGAGGGCGAGGAAAAGAGATTAAGAGACGTCGTAGCGCCCCAAATTACATAAAGGCTAGTTTCTCACTATACATGCGGAATCCGAAGAAAAGAAAAAAAAAAGAAAGACACTTCTAGCCATCTATTCCACATTTTCTTTTTAGTTGCGTATCTTGCAATATTACCTTTGTTTCAATTTCAAAATTCACCCTTGCGTTTGATAATTTTATACTACACACGAATCCATTAGTAGACTGAAGATGAACATTGTTTTGGTATACCCATATATATATATATATATATATATATATATATATATATATATATATATAATGGACTCTCCCGTCGGTTTCGACGTATGAGGTTCAACAACTTTGTTTATTTAACCTTGTGTGTGAGTCATCATAAAGTGACATTTCAGTCCTGCTAGTGATTTGCAAAAAGTCCACAATTGTGCAAGAGTGTGGATTTTTGGGTATATAGCTGGAACAGCAGCAGATATTTTATTCCTTTCCCTAGTTTGACGAAGCTTGACAATGTTTGATGCTGCCTTGTTCTTGATGCCATTGTAGCATGTAGTCTTCCATTCATTACGATCAATTACGATGTTCTCAAAGGTAGTGTGATTTATATTCGCAGCTAAGAGGTTACTCTTCAGCCTGTCCCTGTACCTAAGCAAAGGCCAACCCACGTTTCGATGACCATTGTCAAGTTGATCATACATGAGCATACGTGAATTAAGTTGTCAGAAACCCACACATGCTTTGATTACAGTGGTGAAGGCTTGTGTAGCACCATCCACACTTCTTGGAACTGCTGATAACATGACGTCGGGGCAAAACTTTGCCACGGACACCATGAACAACAGACCTCAGGGTTTTCATCAGAGTGTCCTTCTCCTAGATGACTGAGGGGGGCATCTCTCACAGTGCTTTATCCGCCCCACCTCCCCGAACACCAACCTGGGTACTTCTACGTCCAGGCGCTATATATATATATATATATATATATATATATATATATATATATATATATATATGTGTGTGTGTGTGTGTTTTGATGACTTTTTGTAGTCTTCTGTATTCTGTTGCAAACTGTTGCTACTTGTGATAAATGCTGTTTCATTTTTCCTGTGTGATTTTTTTACTGGGTTGAAAAGGGAAAAAACAAAGCAAGAAATTTAATCATTATGCAATGAGACGTGGGATTTGTGAATTTTGTTTTATAGGTAAAGTCACGTGATGACACTCACAAAGATTTGGAGAAGTGGTTAAAGTCCTCATGTTTATTTTTGGAAGGTCTGTAGAAATGTGCTGTGGTTAAAATCTCCTTATTGTTTTTTGGTATTTTTTACCTCTTTGAACGCTCTTGAGAGCGACGTTTCGTATAATGTGACATTTTTCTGAAGGTGCTTGAAATGTCTGGTATATTATGACACTCCAGAGGGCTTCAGAGGCGGTTGAGGTACATCCGCGTATTTTTTTATGGTACTATGTTGGGCTCTATGTTTTAAGCTGCACTTGAAATGTTGCTATTGTACGTACTTGTTTTATTTATTTTAATTAAAAAATGTTTTTATTGATTGTAATGTATAATAAATGACAACATTTGGTGAATTTTATAACAATACGACTTTACGATTTTATAACAATACGACTTCTCACTTCATTTTAAGTCAATTTAATTATCAGAGTTTCTTAGGAATCTTGTCACCAGTCCATCTTAATTGTCAGTTTTCAGGATTCCTGTCTCTCGCTCGCCTTTGAATTTGCAAACATAAAATTTTGTTAGTGATTTCAGATAACCATAAAAGTAGAGTCCTTTGAAAAACTGACTACTCGAAATGCCAAATGTTTGGTCTCCCGCTCTGCAGCCCAAAGGGACGGATAGGGGTGGTGATACCCCAGCCAGTATCCATATAAGCAGAAAGAGGAAGGAAATCAGCAGTAAGTGACAGGCGGCCACAAAGGAAGGGACTAGCAGTGAGTAAGTGAACAGTCACCGAAACCAGAGGCAGTGAATGTAGGGTCTTCTTTCAGTAGGCCAGAAGTTAGTGAGATAGCCGCCCACCTTCTTGAAGCTTTTTTTTAAGCGTTTCACCCGAAGCAAGGCGGGAAGCCACTAGCACGCAAGGGGTTGCAGAGAGTTGGAGCTAGAGCAAATAGGAGTGATAGAGGAAAGGATGAAGAGAAGGATAGGGGATAGATGAATGAATCTGGAGGCGTCGATTGACATTACATTTGAATAGTTGGAGATTATAACTATCAGGGAAACAGGAATAGGGGAGGGAGTTCCACAAGCGTGAAGTGCGATACATGAAGCTATTGGTGTAGAAGAGACGGCTACATTTAACAGTTTCGACAGTGAAAAGGTGAGAGTGCGAGATGCCAGTCTAGTAGAACGCTTGAATTCATGAAGTTTAGGAACCAGCGAAAGCAGCTCCTCGGAGCACTTACCATGAAAGTATTCGTAAAAAAGACAGAGGGAGGCGACGGCACGTCTTTGAGAGAGCGACTGCAGACAAGATGCTAGATCAGAGCCAATTACGTTGTATATCCGTGTTTGGATCTTATCAAGAAACTTGAGACAAACAGAAGTTGCTCCAGACCATATATGGCAGCAATACTCCATGCAAGGGCGAATATCATGGTTAAGTGAGAAATCGTATTGTCACTATTTCCCAACCACTCTCTTAAAAAGCATTTGTCGTTAGTCTTTTTTGAATTCGATCACGGTCAAGGAGACAAAGTTGTGAACATAGAGAGTCGGGACTATATGCAGACTCAGCCGACCTTGTCTGTCATCACAGGTTGTGTAGTGACGACGGGATGCGTACAACGTCAGAGCAATCAAATTAAAGAAAAGAAAGTCAAAGAATTTACCTTTCACACTGCCTATTGAAGGTAAGACATGCGGGGCTAAATTAGGGTATTTAGCTTAGTTAAAGGGATAACAGACCAAAAATCAAAGAGAAGTTTTAAAAGGGCAAGAAATAAGAGGTAGGAAGTTGTGTAGATCCATGATTTCCCATGTTAAAAAGATTCAGATTAAAAGATTTTAAGGTGTGCTATATTTAATGGATAAAGGTCTCAATATAATATCATATATATATATATATATATATATATATATATATATATATATATAAAAAGTGAACATTGAAGTCAGCACTCAGACGTGACAGGCTGTTTCATGCTAGACGCAATCGTCGACCTTACGACTTCGTCTAGCATGAAACAGCCTGTCGCCTCTGAGTGTTGACTTCAATATTCATATATATATATATATATATATATATATATATATATATATATATATATATATATATATATATATATATATATATATATATTTATCCCTTTAATATATATATATATATATATATATATATATATATATACAGAGAAAAGAGAGAGATAGATAGATAGATAGATAGATAGATAGATAGATCTTTCGTTGATCTCAATAAGGTCTTTGATACCGTTCTCAGGGATTCTTTTTTGATTTTCCTTCCGAAATTGGGTGTTCTTGAAAGGATTCTCAGTGTCTATATCTTTTCATCAGGGGATGATTGCCTCAGTTGGATCCAGTGGAGAGTTAGACGACTGATCCTTTCATTGTCTCGAATAGAACCAAACCAGGTTGTGGTCTGGCAACACTTACCTGCCTGTTTTTTTTTGCCATGCTAGAAAGAACACTTGAGAATGCGAAAGGTGTCGGATTTGAGTTAAGGACAATTGGTCGGCTCTTCAACAAACAATGCTTCAATCAAACTGTTCGTAAGCTGATCTTTGCAGACAAATGCACATTCGTAGCCCACAACCTTGGACATTCGATGGATCGTTAATAATTTCTCCCCTACATATAATTCGGTCTCTCCATCAGCATAAAAAAGACGGAATTTCTCCATCGGCCTGTCAGTAACCATCCCCTAACTGTTGATCCTATCGAGGAAAAAGTCTCGAAAATCGTTTCCTCTTTCACTTGTCTTCGCTTCGTTGTATTCAAAGATTCTAAAATGGATCAAGATATTGAGTGCAGGATTGGAAAGTCTAGTTCTGTCTTCGGTAATTCTTATCACAGAATTTGATTTACTCGTGATTTTTAGTTAAAGGTGAAAATCGATGTATAATAATAGTACTGACATGTCGACTCTATGGTGAAGTATCTTCGATTCTGTAACGACGACATATCAATCAACTTGATGCATTTTACGTGCGTTGCCTACATACGATCTGTAACAGAAAACTGGTTGATAGCATTAGGAACAGTGAAGTTATGTCTAAATGCAACATGACAGATATTGAAGTCATCTTCATGAAAATCTGACTCAGGTGGGCGGGACATTTTCTAGAACAATCAACAAGCAGACTTCCAAAACAACTTTTTGGCCTGTTTCTCCCAAGCATCTCAGTTGGAAGGTCACTTCTGCATTTCAAAGACAAACTCTAAGACAATCGGAAGCGATGCGACATCCCGGGAAAACAAAGTTCCAGAGCAAACGATCTGCCGCCTGTTTTGCTTCTTACCTATATAAAAGTCGGAGCGAAAGCCGATTTGTTCATCGGGATCAAACATGTGCAGATATTGAAGAAATTTGGCAGCATGCTGTTTCTCTCAATGTCGGCTTTACCTAATCATTGCGTCATTGTCAGCACGCAGTAAAACAGGCCTGGCTGTCTACTTGCGGAAACATGCAATTGATCATCAATCACTCGAGTAAAATGGGGTGTGCCAATGCTCCATCTACCCAAAAATGTGCAAGACACCTGCAGCCATCAGCAGACACATATATGTCTATAGAAGTTGAACGAAGCCTCAAAGGGCAAAAGTTGAACATATCTTTGTTTGACTAAACCCTCATTAGTTGTCTGAGACGGGAGAGTCCACAATATATACCAACAGATATAAAAAATGATTAACTCTTTTACAGAATCGTTAAAAATAAGTAAACACTTAGTGATTTAAGAAACAAAACAAAGTAAAAAAAATGATAAAAAGGTAATGATTTAAGATTGAGTGAAGAAAACTTGAGAGTTAAAACATTTTCACCTTTCAGTTAAACAAACAGAATATGACAAAATATGTCACGTGATACTTGTGGCGAAATCTTGATTATTTAGTCACAGCCTGTCCGTGCGCCATTTCACGGATATTGAGGATAATTGAGGAGCCAAAATATGAAATTGCCCGTGCTATATCAATTCAGTCACACACACATAAAACACACACACACACACACACACACACACACACACACACACACACACACACACATATATATATATATATATATATATATATACTCAGCATGTGAAGATTGCATTGTGTAGGATTGC